CTGTTTAATTTTTTGTCATTGTCATTGGGCACATTTAATTGTCGAGCACTGTGGCGCGTGTTGGACATTTAGTTGCGTTATTGTGGCCCTCAAAGCATTAGCGCACATTTAAGTAGCCAGCTCTTACTATTCTCTTCCATTCCTTTCTGCTCTGCTTTTTCTTTTGTCAATTGATTCAAGTTGATGGCGGGTGCGAGCTAGCGCAGAGTTGTGCAAATGCGCAAAGCCAAAGAAAATGAAGTCAACTGGGTTCGTCGTGACAGGGGCTCTGTTGGGTCTATATATATATATATATATATATATATATATGCGAGCGGAGGCAAACAGAACGCACTCAATTGAAATGCAAGTGCAAGTCCAGTCAAGTCTAGTACAAAAGAAAGCGGAAACTGCCAGGCAAATTGGCAGCGCAGACTACAAAATAGTTGCTCCACTGAGCAACGACAAACAAGAAAGCGGCAAAGGCAATGCAAATCAGGAAGGGCAGTTGGGCTAAAAATGACGGGGGTTGGGGGCCTGGCAAATGGGAAATGGCGAATGGGGTATTGGGCCTTCAACTAGTGACAACATTGTCAAAGCTGGCAAAAAGCTGCTGCTGCGCGCACTTTTCTTTGGCAGCAACAACTGCAAATTGTAGTCGCAGTAGTCGCACTTTAGATTTATTGATTGTTTCAACACCGTCGGCCTTGCGGGTCCAACTGTCCTGCGTAGTTGCTGCTGCTGCACTGAGTCTTGACTTATTGCAGCCACAAAAAAGTTGCAACACGGCAACAACAGTAAAAGCATTGCTGATGCTGACAAGCGCTTGCCCGCCCCTCGCGGCCATCTTCGACCATGTCAGCGAGCTGGCGTCCTCGACGCAAGACGCACATTTTTTTTGCCTCGCTCCAACAGAAACACACACTTTTACACACTTGGTCCATTTTTCTTTCTTTTTTTTATACCCTGTACCTATTGACATTGGTTAAAAGGGCTGTGATGGCTTTGTGCCAGTGTACGTAACAGACAGAAGAAGTCATTTACCGTCTCATAAGTTGTACATGTTATTGATCAAGACGGCCTACTGACGAATATAAGAATCGAGGCAAGATTTAGCTGTATGCAGGGTATCTACTAGTCGGTCACACTCGTCACGAGTACTTTCACTTGGGCTTCTTTTGTTGCTTTGCGCTAGCATTTTTGTGCAAAACTTTCAGCAACGATTCGGATTGAAATTCTTTTGTGCTTACAACAGAATTTTTGGCTTTCACACACACACACACACACACACACACACAAGTATTTATACTTTTTTTTTGTTTTTGCTTTGAATGTACACACATAGTTGATTTGTTTTTAAAAGTGCGGACTCTAGACCTTAAGCATTATTCATACGCCATGTGGAATGTGGAACGGGTGGTGGATGGTGCATTTTGCTTGCTGGACAACATTTTTATGATTTTGTTATCTTTTAATTACAGTCATTTCTGTGTGCTGTTTCATGTTTACATTTCAATAAATTGTGCGCTTCCATCTGAGCACTTTACACTGAACATTTTCCACTTCGCGTCGTCATCCTTGCTTGGCAGTTGGCTCCGGCTTGGCTCATGAACAGTTTTTTTTTTTTTTTTTTTTTCCCGCCGCACCCTAACGATTTTGGTCGCCCATAATGAGTTTTTGTTTCCAGCAGCTTAAGCTCACAGGATGAACAGACACAACAGCGGCAACAATTTCCATTGCCATTTAATTAAAAATTGCAGAATAATTATTTTTCTTTTCGCATCTTTTCACTTTTTGCTGCACAGTTGAGGCACACGGTGAGAGGCGCAAAGAACTTTTAAATAAACAAAGGAGCTCAGCGCAATTTGAAAATCTGCAAATTAGCGCAAATGCAGCGCAGAAGAAATTGAAAGAGAGCACGGGCGAAAATGCGCAAAAGGCGCCAATGGGCAGCTGCAAATGCAGAAAGCAAACTTTTCAATTACATTAAATCCGTTTGGCAGAAGTTGGCAACACGCAACGTTGACAATTTATTTTAAGCTCCGAGCTCTTAACGCAGTTCGCCTGTTGCAACTTACAAGCTGCCAGTTTCCAGTTGCCAAAGCAGCTTTGTCCAAATGCGTTAGTAAAACATTTCACCAAGCCAGATAATCATATGTGAAAGCACGCACACATACACACACACACACACACACACACACACACACACACACACACAGAGGCAGGTGTTAAGAGTACGTGCCCGGGCAGTTCGGCAAACTTGGCGTATGCGTAACTTTTATGCCTATGCTAAAGTTTTTGGCTCATTTACGAGCTGGCAAAAGGGAAACTTATGAAAGCAAATGATACTTTAAGTGCTCCGCAGCCAGGAAAACTTGAACTGCAGCTTAAATTTTGGTTTATGCCGCGACAGTGTCAGGTGGCTTAACTTAGCTGTGGGCGGCGCTGACAAATGCTGTCAATATATCAACAGTAAACCGTAAATGATGGGGCGATTTATTATGTTGCTGTTGCAGCGGGTACTTGCAACAAGCTGCAGGTCTGTGGTAGCCCGCTTAAATGGCTGTCGGCCCCTGCCACACAGCCACTCGGCAGGCTTCCCGCCCTTGTCGTTTGCATGTATATTTTGGCAGCCTTCTCCTCTATACTTTATGCTTATTTTGTTGCGGCATCTTGTGCTGGCTGCAAGACGCCAGCCTAGAGGATGTTGCACTGCAATTTATTTTGCCCGGCTGAAGTTTATATGGCAGCCCAGTTGCTGCTACTGCGGCTTATGATAAGCTGCCGAGCTGCACTTGAGCCGCCGGCTCGACAGGCTCTGCAGGCTCCGACGGGTGCAACAAATTTTTGCTTGCCGCTCAAAAATTCAATTTTGTGTGCCGGCCGCAACAGTAAGCGGCTTACAAGTTAAATAAATTTACTTTTGCTAACGCTGATATGATGCATAAATATATATATTTTTGTACATAATAATTGTTTAGTGAAAAACTTGGCGTAGAGTCTAAGCAGCTGGCTTTTATGTGGCTGTGTTGATGCCAGCGACAGCAGCTAGAAAAGCTTTTCATGATGTGCGAACAGCAGCAACAACCAAACAACAACAGCAACAACAACAACAACGGCAACAATATTAACAATAACAATAGCTAAAAGGGCATTCGTGCAGCTTGGGGCGCACTTGTGCAATCTCTCGGCCGCATCAAGTGCACTTTTTTGTATGCCTTTCATCAAAACACTTAATTTGCATAATTTTGTGAAGAGTCTGCCACAAGCTGCAGCAGCAGCAGCATCCATCTGGCCGGAGATCAAAAACCGTGATGCTATTTAATTCCGCCAGCTTTAAATAAATGAAATGCAAGCGGCTAAAAAATGGTTCTCAATCCGCAAACTTCACCTCGCTCTATCCCATTCGCTACGCTAGACTGGCTCAGAGATATTGCACTGCAAAAGCTTTTGTGTGTGCTGTAATTTAATATTTTTACTTCATTTAGCGTTATGAAATTTTGCCGTGCAAATCGTGCACTTTGCATTTTTTTTTTTTTTTTTTTTGTTCGCCCATTTTTCACGGCAACAACTGACAAAGCATTTTCCACAGTCACAGCAGTAAATGCATTTCCATAGTAAATCAGTCTAATGCACTCAATAACTATTAGTACGTACTCGCTTTAATGCCAAAGGCATCAGGCACCAGGCACCAGGCTTCAAGTAGTGGCAAACTAAGTAAGTGGATGAAAGGCTCACACAGTGATTGCCAGCAGTGAAGCGCCAGTCAGTCAATGTTGCATTCAATTTAAGTCCCTAAATGCAATCAACTGACAGCAAATCGCTCGACTCACACAACTCAAGCAATTCGGTCAAAGAAAAGAAACTGCCTTACATCAAAATTTGGTAATTCCTTAACTTTGCAGCTGTTTAACATCTGAGCAAAATTTGCAAATTTGCATTTTTATTTATTTACCTTCGAAAGAGTTTAATTAATTTTACGAAATGAGCAGCCTTTAACCATACATGAGAGCTGGAGACAACAAGTTTGAGATGTAGGCTAGAATCTTTGTTAGAGTTTCTCGTCACGCGGTTCAGGATATATCCTAGTCTTAGTTCTTTTTAGTGGCTGAACCCATTTAAACTGGATAAAAAGTTTATAAGGTATTTGTGCAAAGGTAGGTGACAGGCAGAAGAAGGCATCTCCGAAACCATAAAGTATAAAGATTCTTGATCACCATCATGAGCCGAGTCGATCTAGCTATGTTTGTCGACCTATAAGAGATGGAAATGTTGTATGCGGCGATAATCGATAACATGCCCCGTTTCCATGTAAGCGATAAAAATCGATATCGATATCCTACACGTAAGTTAGAAGAGGATAAGATATGCTGCACACCAATTTATGCCACAATTTTAATGCAATTAACGTTCTGAAGGTAAACGAATATTCTATAGTACAATAAGATCTTCTGTTGAAAATGTTTCATTTGGTGTTGGAAGAAGAGATATCAGAGTATCGCCTAGTTGAGAGCTCCTGACTAGAGCCTCTTGTTATTTTACTGTAAGTAATATATTATTAATAATTTTTCTATTAAATAACAAGGGATTCTAAAAAAATATTTGACTTGTGAATACATTTTGCCGAATTACGGAATAGTTGAGCATCAATTAGTCGAATTTCGGTTGTCGAGTAAAATGAAATCAAAAGCCCTCACAGGCATTGTTTTTCGAAAATTTAGTCTCAATTAGCTTACATCAGATATATGATATTTTTGATATTTATTCCAGCTTTTGGTTTACTCTTCACAGTATTTTTGTTTATTTATTGGGGAAATAACTTTAAATACAAATTGGATTTTAAATATAAAGCTTAGAAATCGCAATAAATTTCTTAATTCTGCTCAAGTTGAGAAAATCGTGCAGCGAGTATTTATTGTTGTTTGAGATTTGAGCAATTTCTAGCGATAAATCTCAGCGGAAAACAAATCCAATCTAAACTCATGCTCTCTCTCTTTCTCTCTCTCTCTCTCTGCTTGCAGCTAAGCGAGGACATTGGCTACGTGCTCTACTCGGCGCTGGGCTCCTTCTATATACCCAGCTGCATCATGGTCTTTGTGTACATACGAATTTACTTTGCCGCCAAGGCGCGGGCGAGACGGGGCATTAAAAAACATCCGCGCAAAACAAACAACGAACAGGTGAGTGAGTGAGTACCAAACGTGTCTTCTGTCTTGTGGCTCTGCGACTGATAGCTTTGGCATATTGCCGTTTTGAGCTGCTCACCCCCTCTCCCACACCATCCCATTGCCGACTTCGGTCAGTTCAGCTGGAAAAGTTGAGCAACAGCCGAGTTGCGTCCAAGCACTGTAAATGCAAATTTTGCCATTTGAATGAACATGAGCGCAGCTTTCAGTCGATGCCAGCCAGCTGAGGCCAGCAATTTTGCTCAGGCATATGTGGCGTATGCGCAATATTTGTGAGCTTAAAGGCTGCGGACATTTAAAGCGCTGCACGAATCGGTTGCGGCAAATGCCTCACGCGCTCTGCTGGCATTTCTCGCCAATTTGTGCGCTACGTGTTGGCCATAATGGCTGTGCACAGCAGTTGCCCCCTTGCATTCGCCCACATTTGGCAATTTGCTCATTGCAAAATGAGCAAAATGGCGTCGCTTAGTGGCCCGGGACTCAGGACTTGATGCTTGATTTAAGCTGTAAATTATCCCGCAAAGTTGCGCTGATTGAGTACAAATCCTCTAATGGCTGCAGCATATTCAGCTGGCCACGCAGCGCCAATTACCTGGCCGAATTACCCACAATTACAGACCTGAGCAGCAGCATTTGCGGCCAATTCGAGCACAATTTGCATTTTCAATTAACTGGACGCCAGGCAAACAAACAGAAAAAAAAAAAAAAAAAGAGGAGAAAACCCTTCGACACTTGACTAACAATTCGCACAAACAAAGGCCCCGGGCTGTGGCAGCTGCTGCTCAGGCATGAGATTAACCCACGCACGCACGTACACCTGCACACACTCCCACACACACATGCACAACTGCACAACTGCACACCTGCGCTGCATTTGCCGTGACGTTTGTCGTGTGTGTGCCACGCCCTTGTTTGTGTAATCGCGCTGCGCTCTGACGCGCCTGTAAACGTGGCTTAAAATCGAATTTTTGGGAAAATGGAAAAGCCATGTAGCATGTACCAACTGATTGGCGCCTCTCTTTGCAGGTAACGAGCTTCACCACCGCCAACAACAAGAAAGGAACAATACCGATGCCATCCTCCAGCACCGCCGGAGCCCAACTGCAGCTGCATCAGCAGCGACAGATAGCCACCATTGAGACCCCACCGAATAGCGCGACTATGCCCATGCAAATACCGACAGTCACCATGGACCTGGCCTCCGATATATCCACCTCGGAGGCGGGCGAGCTGGAGGCCGTGGCCGCCCAGGCGGCGCTGGCCTATGCCAATCCCAATGGCGGTTCCAGTACGGCCGCGGCACTGGATGGCCTGCCGCCCTGCTCGCCAAAGGAAACGCTGCAGGTCAGCACAATTGCGACGGGCCGCGGCGTTGGGCTCAATGTACCCGTGCCACCTTCGATGGGCAGCAACAACTCGATCAATGTGCTGAACAACAACAACGGCTGCGTGGCCACAGATGCCGTTGGAGCCGCGCAGCCGGGCGCCAATAGCAACAGCAACAGCAACAGTGGGGCAGCTGGCGGTGCGGCAAGCAGCAATGAGCTGCGCGTCTCGCCCATTGCCGGACGCTGTCGTGCCCTATCCGTGGGCATTGATACGGACATGGTGAGTGAATTCGATCCTTCCAGCTCGGATTCGGGCGTGGTCAGCCGCTGTGCGGTAGTCAAGCCGCTCAAATTTCGCCTTTGCCAGCCCATCTTTGGACGCAAATCGAATCAGCAGCGCCGCAACGAGGCCAAGGCAGCCGCCGTTGCGGCCAAGAATAATGCAGCCGTCGTTGCGGCCAAGGCCAAGGAGCTGACGGCCAAAGCCGAACTCGAACCGGCCATACCGAAAACGCCAAAGCCCCGGGATCCGGAGAAGGAGAAGCGACGCATTGCACGCAAAAAGGAGAAACGCGCCACACTGATCTTGGGCCTAATCATGGGCAGCTTTATCGCCTGCTGGCTGCCCTTCTTCTTTCTGTATATACTGGTGCCGGCGTGTAGCAGCCATTGCAATATACCGGAGTCGGCGTTCGCGATTGCCTTCTGGCTGGGCTATATGAATTCGGCACTAAATCCGGCCATCTATACCATCTTCAACAAGGACTTCCGACGCGCCTTTCGGCGCATCCTGTTCAAGTGATGTTTGGCCTACGTGTGCTGCTACAAGTGCGTCTATGCCAGCATCGAGAAGGCCACAGAACGCGCAATGGGCAGCACACCCATGGGCTATGGGCATGGCATGTATCAGCATTACAAGCGTTAGATATGCATTCAGTTAGTAAAGGATATATTCTTTCTTTATATTATTATTATTATTATTATTATTTGTTGTAAAAGTAACGAACATTGTAGCTCATTTCAAAAGCAATGAACGGCTGTGAATTTGATGGAATCTCTCAATTTCAATTTATGCGTTTTGCGTTTCGTTTCTAAGTCTGCCCTCGAACTGCAAACTTGAACCCCACAGCTGCTGCACACACACACACACGCACACACGCACACTCGACCCTCGATCCTCGACCCTGTGCAAACACGAATTTCATCTAAGCAAACATCTTTTATGCACACTCAATGGCCATTCAACTTGATATTATTTCACAAATTTTCCATTTTTTTTTTCCATTTCTTTCTTTTTTTTTTTTTTTGGGTGGAAACCAAGTATACTCTGCGACAATATGTCAATGGGGCAGGTGAACAATGTGAGAGCACATTTTCTGGCACTCGATTTGGGGTCATCAAAGTGTAAACTGACTGTCAAGCAAATGACATTGGCTGCCTGTAAAAAATATACTGTGCAACAAATTAATTTTATTTTGTCTCGTTCTTCGCCTCGTTGCCTGCGCTGCGGTTGCGGCATCTACTGCGGCTTCTGCTGCTGCTGATGCTGCCACTGCAATTTTGTTGCAGTGAAAATGCATTTTAATACTCAGTTCCTATTAGGGGAAAGGCGTATATCCGTCTGGCAATACGGTGTACTATCTATTAAAGACATCAAATTAATTTGCTTTCTCTTTTCTCTTATACTCAAATCTTAAATATTCCCGCAATATTTAAGTGTCATTAAATCAAATTGAATATTTTTTTTTTCAAAATTTCCAAATTCAAATTTAAATTAAATTCGAAATCTTTTATAGTAAAAGTTTTATAGACATAAAATCCAATTGATTTTTGTAATTAACTACTTATAAATTTTAACTTTATATGTTAATTTTGTCTAAATTTAAATGCAAAATGTTTTCCGCATGCTGCTGCCCAATTCAAATCAAAAATATTCCACAGTTTGCAAGCAACGTGTAAACACAATCCTCACAGTTTTGCAGCCTCCCAACTTGGTTACAAATATTTCCCTTAAAGATAATATAAAAACTATAAATGTTTTTTGATTACCAATGAGTCTTTGAACATGTAGCCAAGCATATGCATTGTTTTAAGATAGATTTCTGTTGGGGTGTCAACTGTGATAACGCCAGGAACAGAGCATGACGCAGTCGAGTGATTCGGAAATGTTGCCTTGTAGTGAATTTCAGTGAAAGGCACATAAATGTTAGAATAATGCAGCAAATACAACAACTAGACAGGCGCCCAAAATGGGCCAGCAGCAAATAGACGCTCCAGTTTTGTGTGCATGCATAAAAAGATATTTTCACATTTTACACAAAAATAGAAGAATAGACGCCACAAAAAGCTACAACTAATGGGCATACACAGATGTGCTATAGACGCCTCCCTGCCACTTTAGATGCCATCATTTTTTTCTTTCTTTTTTTTTGGCCATGCATCAGCAAATGCATGCGCCAGTCACAGGAATAAACGACACGTCATTCAGTCAGACAGTCAGCCAGACAGTCGGACAGTCTGAAAAGAGATGGGTAGCTAGCTGCGACTGAGAGATGAGGCAGAGAATCTTTTGGCATGGGGCCCATATTCGGGCCCCACCGAGTATATTCTATTTAGACAAGTCGAAAGGCGAACCGCAAACTAGGCATAAACTACAGCTGCTACACGAATCTCTCATATTTTAGACACTTTGCGTTTGGTTGCACCTAAATTAAAGAAGCGTGTCTCACAGAGATGTAATCGGCTTGTTCCATGTCTTGAATTTATGGCTGCTTTTAGCCGCTCGTCGTTGGCTTTCAACACATACCGCAAATGTTTCAAATTTATTGCGGGCTAAGTGCCAGCCGGCTTTAAATTGTTCAAATGCTCATAAATAATGCACCAGCCAAATCCGTCAGTACAACCAAACACCCGAATTCCATTATTTGTGTTTGGCTGTGAAGACAGAAGCTTTTCTTTGGAATCAACATGCATTTTTAATGCCACACACACACACACACACACATACACACTTACAACTTGATTGTCAGCAACAACTGCACTTAAATGTCAATTGCAACAAAAACGTAGCAAAAGCAACAACAACAACAACAAGTGTGCTCTGATCGGGAGTGCCCGACTAAGAGATACGTACACCTGCAAACATTCAAGCTGAGTTCTACACAAATATACACACTCACTCACATATTCTATATATTCTATACATATATTATATATGCACACAATCTAGATCAACATTCTAGACTTGCTTCAAGTGCGATCTTCAACAAACATTTGCAGTTTATAGAATCCAAATATGGGTATGCACGAATCTACCAGATAAATAAAATATTCATAATCTGCATACACTTCATCCATCTCTTATATATCTTCTCCATCTCTTACAGAATTGGAAAGAGATATCCATAAAAATGTTATATTTCAAACTTTAAGTCTATAGCTTGTGCAGTTTGCGAGATCGACACGTTCGCACAGACAGACGAGGTTCGTCGCCCCCAAATCGAGAATATATACTGTATAAGGTCGGAGCTGTGTTAATATATAGATTAACATACTATAAACATTTGCCTAATACATGCATTTATTTGCTCAAAAACACTTTATACCCTTTTTGCCTACTTTCAATGGGTTCAGGCTATAAAAAAACCAACAAAACTAGCAATGGGCAAAAAATGAAATCGCAAACAATAGAAATCGATGGTGAGGCAGCCGCAGTTGCATTAAAATGCACACACACACACACAGACACACACACACACGCACACACACACACACACACACATGCACACCTAGAGCACTTAGGTGCGACACAGTCGACGAATGAATGTTGAACGATGCAACACATTTCTCCAGCTGACTTTGTTTTCGCTGGCACATCGAAATTCATTTGAGCTGTAAGTGTTAGGCGACAATAAAAACAATAATAATAACAACAACGAGAGCAACAACAATAATAAACATTGCACTGTTTTTGGTGTTAACACTAGATGACACATACGCCACGTTGTCCATATGCGCGTTTTAGCCATTTGTCCTTTTTTCTATACATTGTTGACATGTTATCAGACAATTGCGAGCACTTATTCATATTTAATTTGCGGATGGCCGTGCAATTAACATAAATTAAATTCGACGCAAATAAAAAAAAAACACAAACAAAAACCAATAACAATAGTTAAATACTACAAAGCCATTTATTTATAATTCAATTAAACGGGTTTTTATGCAAATATTTGGCAAACCCCATTTGATTTCTGTGCCTTAATTAGCATGGAATTGTTTTAGCAACCCAAACGAAAACAAAGTGCACACATATATATATATATATAAATATAACTAAATTTAGCAAAAATATTTATTTAAAAAATATAAAAAATTTTTTTTTGACCACAAAATTTATGGCCAGTGGCTGCCGCAAAAGCAAATATTCACATGTCAAATTGAATTATTGAAATTTGGAATTTGTAACTGCAAATTTCTGTCAACATTAATAGCTCTGATATATTATAGAAATGTACATTTTAAATATTTAATGTTGTTTATTAAAACGAACAAGTCATAAACAACAGAAGTGTCAGGAATTTTGAGAACCGCCCGGTTGCGCAAGCCCTTGTATCCTCTTCAGAGCTATAACTAATTGAGAATTAGAAGCAATGAGAAAAAAACGACAAAGCTACCAAAAGAAAAGTCTACCTTTGTATGTTGATGTCTCAAGCAGACATACGCAATTTCTCAAAGTGTAGATCACACTATAAAAATATAATAATTAAACAAATTATGCGAAATTCAGCAAATCAAATTGGGACATTTCCAATTGAAATTCAGTTGGTTTCATGGAAAAGTGTACACAAATATTTAACAACATTTCTGGATGTGCCCATCTACATATATATTATTCAGAAGCCGCATGTTTATTTATGATTTAATTGCTAATACCTGCCAGTCATAATTAAGTTAGGAGCTTAGCGTTTTGTTAACAACGAAATGGCAAATAAATCGATTTCGTTTCAGCCAAATTGCACTGGCACCGCCTGTCCATAAAGGCCAACACTTTGCAATTGTTTACAGTTTGTACAGATATCGTCTATTGATATAATTTTGCCGGGCTATCTGCAGTGAGGCATGCCATGTTGAAGCAAGGTTAATGATTTAAGTGCAGTCGAATGCCATTTCTGGCAGCAGTCGATCAAAGTCGCTATTAGAATGTCCATTAAACTAATTAATAATATGCGATGTGTTGTGAAAGGCAAGGCTCGAAATTCATGCGTATATCTGCCCTCTTTGACAGCATAAATATTTATTTACGCTGAGTAGCATCGAGCCCATAAAATGCGTTCAATTGATTAATTGGAAAAGTTGTGTGCACCAGCTCTTGAGTTTAAACGTTGGAGTGGCAATGGGAATGTTCACTTTTTCAGTTCGTTTGCAAAAACGTTTAAAATATAAATATATTTATTTATTTATTTATTTATGTATAGCTATGAATTGAATGCCGTAAGCCCAACAAAAAAACAAAAAAATACTTGGTTGCTCGACATTAGTTTTAGTTAGTTCAAAGAAGCGACACCAACAAATGACTGAAATGCTTAAATGAAATTGTTTCATTATAAAAAAAAAAAAAACAAAAACAAAAACAAAATACAAAGAAAATAAAAACCAAAGAACAAATAATTTATCGCGTATTTCAATAGTGAATATTACATTTTTTGCTTATAAATGTAGTTTAAATTTAAATGAATCTTAGACTCATAATGCATTATTTGTATTGTATATCAAAAGTTGAATTTTTTTCAGATTTAATGTGAACAGCCAGTAAATTTACAAAGAGTACACGTTTGTATATACTTACTTTTATAAGTAGTTAATATATATTTAGCATAATTTCTAGTTGCATAAAATCAAATGTTTAACCAAATTTTTAACTTCTAATTGTGCGTGTCTCTGTTATAGTTAAATATATTCTAAACGACGAGTAATTAATCAAACTAAGTAAACACAATAAACGGCAGAAAAGATACGAATATGTGTGCG